GCGCTGAGGGCGGAAGGGAGGCTCCGGGAGGGAGGCCGCGGGGGCCCCTCAGGCGGCGGGGGGGGCCGATCTTTGCCCTCTGAGGGGAGGGGGGGATGCGTTGTTTGCCTTTGGGCAGGTTTTATGAACGCAGGGACGGGATTTCTCCCCCCGTTTCGCAGGGCAGCTGTCGGACGGGGCTGGAGCGAACGGCCCAGGCTAGGCCTCGCCTTCCTCCCCGTCCTCGGCTGGCGGTGCCGGGGCGGCCCCCGCGCTCCATGGTGGGCTTGTGGGAGCGGGGCTTCCTCTGCAAAAAACCCTTTTTAAAAATATTTTTAATTAAAAAACCAAATATGGGGTGCGGCTGTTGGCTCAGTTTGTAGTTGATGGACTGTAAAACACTGTAAAGAAAGCTTTTTGTTCGAGGTGTTTTGAGGGTGAGTGCTTTTCGGGGGTCATCTGAGCATTAAATTTGATACTAATTGTAAAAAATAAAATAGAGATCTATCTGCACACGTAGTGGGTTTGAGCTTAGCACGTTTCAGTAGCGTTCATCCCTGGCAAAGCACTCGGGCTTGAGCTGTGCTCCCAAGATGAGTAACAGCTGAGTTTAAATCCCTTTGCTGCTTTTGTGAGGCATGTGGCAGGTTCTCATGTTAGAGAACCGCATTAGGACTGCGGATGAGCTGCCTACAGGAGCATTAGCTATTAAAAAGCTGAAGTGACTGCCCCCTTACCTCTGCCCAAGTCATAATCGGAGGATGGGATCTTAATATTTGTAAAATATATGAGACTTCTGTGATATTGCAGGGTTTTTTGCCAAGTATATGGCATGCATCTGTTTAAAACAAATTGAGGTTTCCATCTTGCTGATACTAAAAGCTTAGGAAGCCTGGTGGTGTCACTAGGTGCTGTACTGAACAGGACGTTTGGGTGCCATCTTGACTGCTGATGGACTGTATTTTTGCAGCATTGCTCTTGCCAGTGGTAAAATTTTCGCTTCCTAAAAGGATGACTTCTCAGTAGGGATGAGTTAGTGTAACTTGCTGATTTATTAACCCTGCTGTATCATAGCAGCACCCTAGAAAACTTATTAAAAATGCATTACTAGAATACCCATTAGCATTCTTGATTCTTTCCACCAAAGGAGCTGGAATGCAGGTTTTTTTAATGTGTAGTCAAGTAAGCGCAAGATCTCCATGCTGTTTGTTAAGTCTGGTTCTCGTGTTTTGCAGATTCTCTTGATCTGAAGATGGCTGCACAGTCAGCACCGAAGGTTGTGCTAAAGAGCACCACCAAGATGTCTCTGAATGAGCGGTGAGGAAGCCAACAGCAGCTTCAGCTCATAAGAAATTTTTTTACTTAATTATCACTGTCCGGTGTCCAAAAACCAACGTGGTTTCTGCCCTCTTTTAACCTCACTAAAACAAGCAGATGGCTATGCACCTCTGTCTTAAACTTCAACAAATGTGGTACGCCAGGTTAAAAGGGCAAGTGTTTTGGAGAAATTTATCCGTAGCAGTTAATATTAAACTATTCGACACATAAATATGGTGGGATGTGTTATAACAAAAGAGAGAAACCTCACGCCCTCCCTTTTTCTTCCACATGTTTTTACATTTATATAGTTGACACTGCAGTGTGGTAGCATGTTACCTGAGCTGCAGCAGGCTTGCTGCTTTGTCCGAGGCAGACACACGTGCATGTGGTCTGGCCTGTAAGAGGCATGCAGCAGGCCATCAAACAAGCCCGAAGGCCCTTTAACAATGTTTTGGGCCTTGTAAGAGGCGAACGCTTTGCTTCATCTCCATCTCTCTCTTTTCCCGATCTCTTTATTTCTTCTGTTGAGTATTCTTCTCTTTTTCCATGCCATTGAGCTTTTGCAGTTCTACAGTGACAACTAACAGCGATGCTGCAGTTACGTTTCACTTTCTTACTAATTGCTCCTGGATTAACTCTGTTAGTATCGTTGAATCAGGGATAAAGGGAGCCATTTGCCTGCAGTTCCTGCGCTAGCAAGGGAGATATAGCCTGAACCAGTGCTCAGAGCTTATCCTGGGAAGGATGAGTAGTGAGCCGCAGGGAAGGCTTGCTGGCCTCTTTCGTTTTGGTCAGTCCATATTCCTCATCTCTAAGTGTTTTATTTTGCAGTCTTGTGTAGCTCCTGGGACGCAGTGGAAAGCTGATGGGTTGCTGCTTGCCATCTTGCTGTATGTTCTGCGCCTATATAGCTCTTAAAGACAGAAGATTCTTTGTGCACCAAAGAAATTGCCAAGTGAACTGTTTTTATAAGTGAGCGCACTTGGGTGGTGGCATTTCTTATGGCACCAGTTCCAGGGGGGGGGCACACCAGTCAGATCTCAGGGCGAGGTCTTTTGTAAAGCTGAGTTTTTTAAACAGATCTTTGAGGGTTAATTTGGCTTTTGCAGTCAGATTTCCGTTTGCTTTTCTGTTTCTGTGATGTCCTCTCCCATCTGTCATGACCATCTCTGCTTATTGCTTGTTTTCATTCCTTCTGCCATTTCTAAAATCAGTAACCTAAAGCTTTGTCACTTCTGAAGTAATATACGACATCATTTCTGAGTTTCCAGTTCTTGCACACTTGTGGAAAACAAGGAACACGTAATCACATATGACGTGACCTAAGTACCACTCTTTACATAAGATTCATGGGATCTGGAGATCCAATCTTGAGAACCATGAAATGCCAATAAATGTATGTAATAAAGCTTTATTTAAACACCCGTTTTATTCGACCTTGAAGCTTTACTAACATGCTGAAGAACAAACAGCCGATGCCAGTGAATATTCGGGCTACCATGCAGCAGCAGCAGCAGCTAGCCAGTGCCAGAAACAGAAGACTGGCCCAGCAGATGGAGAATAGACCTTCTGTCCAGGCTGCTTTGAAGCTTAAACAGGTGAGAGAAAGCGGCGTATTCTGGCGTGCCGGTCACCAGCAGATGGCTTTTCAGGATATGGTGGATTTTGCAAAATGCTCCTGAAAGTTCAAAATGAGAGACCTAGAGGGGACTTGCAGAATAATCCCACTTTTTACTTCAGATAAGTAATGCTTTGTAACTTCCTGGTTAATGTTATTGAGTTGGGGTTTGGTTTTTTTTTTTTTTGTGCTGGCTGTTCATATCTCCTCTCTATTTTTTCAGAGAAATGTTCTCATTCTGAGTTTCTGGATCTGCCGAGTGCTTCATCTCGCAATCTAGCTGCAGTTAACAGTTGCTGCAGGTTGTTTCCAGTACTTGCTATCCAGTTGAGGCTGGTTGCTCCCATCCCCAACTCCACCCTCTCTTGCTGCGCTCCCTTGATAGCAGCTGGCTGCGAGGAACAGATGAACAAACGGATTTTTTGATGGCTTGCAAATGCTAGAATGCAGGCCTGGATTTAAGGCATAGTGTTGCATTCTCTTTATATAAAAAGAGTCTTTATTGTTCCACATCAGTAATGAGTACTGCAGATTACGGTGCGTTCCTCAAATTGCCTTCTGTCGGTAGAGCAGGAGACCTAAGCAGATGTGCTAGATTTTGATTTCTCTGCCGCAGTCAATGTGCTTCTCCATAACCCTGGGCTTAAGGAGAAGGGGCAGGGGACAAAATCTTGCTACTGCAGGAGCCTCAGTAACGTACGGAAGGGAGCTGTTTGTCTCGGGCCTGCTCGTTCTCAGACTGTAGGGGTTTTTGCAAGTTTTAAAGCCTATGTTAAAATGGGAAGGCTGGTTAGGATTAGCTTAAAACATACGTGTAGGGCACAAATTGAAATCTGTTGGGTAGTGCTGTGCAGTGAGTTCAAATAGTGGCACTGTGTGACTTGACTGCTGCAGTGGTTAAATATAATTCTGTGCCTTATCTCGCACACGAGGAGAAAACCCTGGAAATCTCTTAGCTGAGCTGCTTCACCAAATAGCTGGAATACTTAAACCTGCCACACATGCTCCCATCCAGAGCTCGCTCTGATAAAGAGGAGTGCAGCTGCTTTTTAAGATCTCTTGAGGCTTCTGTTGTAAAACCAGACTGTGGTGCCAGTTAGCCTTGTGGAGCTGGTAAACAAAAGCTCTGGAAATGGTATCCTAAATTATTTTCTGCTTGTATAAAAAGTTTGAGAAGTTAAGAATCTCACGAGTGGTAAGTGAAGCTGGATTGAACGCGGGGAGTTTCCGCTTGCTGAATTGAGGTGCCACAGCGGAACAAGGAAGAATGAGTCGTTTGGCTTAGATCTTAAACCCATTTGGGTTTTATCTTGGCCATAGGCGTCCTTTCACAAAGTAAAAGTGGAATTCAGTGCTGCAAGAGAGGGCCGCAGAAGGGCATTGCAGAGAAATTTGGAAATCTGGTGGCTCTTTGAAGATTGCAAGTTGCTCTGGAAGTTGATGTGATTGGATTTTCACAAGTGCTGTACTTGGTATCACCAGGAGCTGTTCTCATCCTTCTGGATGTACTGTGCCCAGAAGTGAACAAGTGTTTACGTAGACCTGCTGTGGGTTTTTTTTAGTGTAAAAATATTTATACTGGCTGGTTCTAGACGTGCATTTACTCAGTAGCTGGAGCAGACCAAGGTGCTACTGCTCTGAGGTAGAGCAGAAGGGTGAGCGCTCTTAGGCTGTTTCAGTGCAAAGTCCTGCAGCTTATCTTAAACTCTCATGGTAAGTGCCATAAACGAGTAATTGGATGTGGAACACAAACATGCTTTCTCATTCCTTTCTGCCGGAGAGGCTGGGCGGAAGGGAGAGGCTGACATTTTAGGTTGCTAGGGCTGTGAAGAAAATTGACTCTATCCCAGCCAAAACCAGGACAGGCTGTTGGAGAAATGTAAACTCTGAGGCAGTAAAACTTAAAATCTTACTACAGCTACAGAAGAGACTGGTTTTAGAGGAACCAATTCAGCCATCCGCAGGCTTGGGCCTGCTAGACAAGCAATAACTTTAAGTAACTCTTGAAACCTGTAGTAAAATACAGCCTTAACGGCTGCTCCCGTCACCTTACCTTAGGGCCAAGAGCTCTTGTTCGTGAGACAAGGGTGAAGATTCCCCACTCTTGCTTCTTGGCTCCTTGTTGCTCTTGTTCTGGTGAGGGTAAATTTTCTTCGGTGTCGTTTTTGTAGCATAGATGGAAAAGTTTACGCTTTCCCCACCTCTTGCCTTAGTCTGTGTGGAATCCTAGCCAGGGTGGGGCAGTAGGCCACCAGCAGCGATGTCGGCGTGCTCTGCGGAGGTGGGTTAGGCTTCTGCCCCAGTTGCTCTCAGTCTCAGGGATTTACTTGCTCTGTCACCTCCCAGCAGAAAGGCTTAGCGGGCTGCCTTGTGGATTCAGTGTCTGCTTTGATTTGAACCCAGCAGCACTGCTAAAAAAACACTTCTTTCCAAATCCGCAAGCTTTCTTGTCTGTACAAACACTTGTTTCCAGCAAAGGTCTCAGTTCTCTGCTTGACCTTCACAAATTATCCCTCCCAGAGCAGATTTGATTGTCTTCCTTTGAAGGTTGATTATATATTGCAGAGAGCTGGTGACCCTCATTTTTATTTAAAAAAAAAACCACCACACCGTTTTTATTGATAGGCTATTGCTGTGCTGTTTGTGTTGCAAGTCCAAGATTGCTGCATGACTTTCTCGTTTCTTAAAAATCTTCTATTCCAGAAGAGCTTAAAGCAACGCCTCGGTAAAAGTAACATTCAGGCACGATTAGGCCGGCCGGCAGGCCCCCTTGCTCGCGGAGCCATGGGAGGAAGAGGACTGTCCATGGGGCAGAGAGGTTTGCCCCGAGGAGCCATGCGTGGCGGCCGGGGAGCGAGAGCTCTGCTGAGAGGAGGAGTCCCGCTCCGAGGTCAGTACCGTGCCTGAACCGGAGTCGCTTTTCTATCAGTAACGCGGTCTTTTTGTCGGTCTGAAAAGTTTCTTTCTGATTTGAATTCCCTTTCGCTATTGAAGGTCAGAGCCTGCTTCGTGGAGGACGAGGTATATCCCCCAGGATGGGCCTGAGAAGAGGTGGCCTTCGAGGTCGCGGTGGCCCTGGAAGAGGCGGCTTAGGCAGAGGGGCCATGGGCCGCGGAGGACTTGGTGGCAGAGGTTAGTGAGCGCAAATTTGAGGAGCAGCACATTGCTGCTGAATAAGTAGAATAAGCTTTAATTCTTTTTCCTGCTTAAAGCGAGCATGTGTAAGTACACGCAGCCCCCCAGCCCCTCTGTCTGTGAGTTGGTGTAGCACTAAATTAAGGCTTCCTTTCCTGGAATGTCTTAACACCAAGCTCCTTGGCACATCAGTGTGGCTAGAGGGGTTCTGGGGACTCTGGGAGCAGTTTTCCGCTCCTGTGGGATATCACTGCCTGCCTGATGCTTTGCATAGTAGTCGAGGCAGCGAGTGATCTTCAGCTGTCTCCTTGCACTGAAGGAAATGATACAGAGCCCCCGTAACCCAAGAGCCTCTTAAAATAATTAGCGAGGGGAAAAATTTAACGGAGGAGAAAGCCCGAGCCCCTGCAAAATCAACTTAAATTCAAAGTCTGAAAGTGAATCGAGTCTTGGGTAAATGGACTCTTTGTATTTTCAACAACAAATCAGAGCAGCAGTATAGCAGGAGTGCAAGATGATGTGCAGGAGGCCGCTGCTGACGGTGGGGTTGTTAACGTTTCGGGCAAATGTTTGGTTAGCACGCCAGACAAACCTCGCTCGTGTTCCTTGGGATTGGCCCGGTGTTTGCCGGAGTTAGAGCAGTTACCGGGAAGCTGCCTCTCTTGGCAGCCTCGGCTTGCAGCTTTAGCTTTATTTCTTAGCCTGACAAACAAACACTGATCCATGTGGGCTCTCGGGGTGTCCTGCCTCTCGGTTTGAAGTACTCGGTAGGAAAAATCTGCTCGTAATGGTTAACGGCGTTGCCGCTTCGCCAAAAGCTTCAGCCTGTCCCAGAGATGTGCGGGATCCTGGGGTACGCTCCGTGGGAAGGACGAGTACGTGATGTGTAGGTGGGACTGGAACCCAGGGAGATGGGAGTCCCCGAGTAGCCCTTAGTGGTGGGTCAAACATCTTTGGGCTTGTGGACTGAAAGGGAAGCAGCCTGGGGAGCTCATCCGGCGTGGCAGAACCCGCCCCGCTGCGGGAGCTGGGGGTGGCTGGCGCAGGGGCGGCCCGGGGGCTT